TATCTATGAGGATTTATATACTCACAGTCTCACATTGCCAAATCTGTTGTCCTAAAGAACTATGCTCATGCACTGCGCGTCTGTCTACATGAAACAGGCCAAGGAGGAATCTGTCTGTCAGCAGAACAGTAATTTGGTTGATGCCCTTAAAAATGCAGGTATTAAAATTTGCATCTCAGAAATACAGAAATGGGTAGTTGGGGAGGGGTGGAATCTGAGAGCGGGGCTTCTTTTGGAATGCAACTGCAGCACCATTCACCTGCTATTTAACAAAGGCATCATCACCATATGTAGAGTTTGTGTCACTTTTTTTTTTTTTCTGAAAACGGTGAACTCAAAGCATTCTCAAAGTTAGGATCAAATTCCAGCAGATTCTCTGCACCCTGAAATAGTACTTAGTTCCTAAAATAAAGAAGATGCAGGTGGTACGGTTGAATATGCAGAGTTGAGCAGAGTGGAAAGAAAACTTAATCCTTCAGACTGGTGCTCTGGAAAGGCCACATAGATGTAGTTGCTCAGGTAGTTTCTCTAAGCATTACATTAAGTATAAGCAAGAAGGAACAAATGGTTTCTGGTAACAGTCACATACACAGCTGTTCAGAGAGAAGGAGTGTTTTTTTGACAGAAAGTCAGGCTAGCTCATATGTACTTAGAACACCAAACAAACAAAACAACAACAACAACAAAAGATAAAGTATTAAGTTAGTTACACTATAAGGACCAGAACACTTGTGAACATGAACCCTTACCAGAACCAAAACCATGCATCTGAAGGTTCAATCAGCAGGGATTGCTAGTTGTTCAGCCTATCAATCAGTGCCAGGAGGCACCACTGGAACCAGTCACATCCCATGCACTTGTGTGCTCCTAAAGCATTTCCTGAAACCTGGGCTGACTATGCAGCAAGCAAGACACTGTCAGAGCATAAGGCTGGTGCATTACTCAAGCACTGGATTAGCCTGATCCTAGATGCTTTAGTCTAGCTCATAATTTGGAAAATGGGTTGTGTATTATTAATTCAGCTGGCACTATGGAACTCTGAACCCTCTGCCCAAAGGCATCTAATCAATCAGAAATTTAACATGGTTGGTGTGTCAGCCACTGTATCTCACCATGAGGCCTAAATCTGAAGAGGTTGTCTGTGTCTGGACCAATAGGCCTCCACGTTCAGTGTTATTTCTGTGCTGAGAGTGACAAGTTGGTGTAGTGTGCAAGTACTTTTTCACCAAGAACTGTGATGAGATCGAAAGTAGTTTTGGATATCTTATCCCTGTTTTCAATTTAACGATACAATCCTCTTCCATCTAGAATACAGTACTTTTTAGCCTGTTACTTGCTCTTGATGGAGCTGTGCTGCACCAGTGGATAGATAAGGGTTCTAGCCAAATCCTGCTTGTGTCCTCCAAAAACTCACAATCAGTGATGACTGGATATGTGTAAAGAATGTGCCATTGATTGATTAAATTTTAGTCCTTGGTTAGGGATGGGATTTCCGGAAGTGTTCAGCCTAACTTCACTTGCATTTAAGAAAATTGCAGTTCTATCATGTAAGCCAAGAGGAGCCAACCTAGACTGACACAGGCTGCTTTTGGATATCCGATGAAAAGGCCAAGACATCATTTAAACTGAATGAAAATCCCAATCCTGCTAGTTCCCTCAACATTCAAACTAGATTTTAGAATGTTTGGGGAAGGGTTAGTAAGTTACTTTTCAAAAGCCTGTCTTTTCTGTTTCTCTGCAATAGCCTACTGAGAGAGGTATATGACCTACATGTGACCAAATTTTTTAGCAGAAATCTCAATATTGCTATGATATACATGGCTGCAAAAGCCAACCTGTAACAGAAAACAAAGCCTGCTTTTCCAACAGTAGGTAACCCTGATTGTTAAGAAAAGTTTTACTTGAACTTCCAACATTTTCAATTTCAGAAGAAGAGAGGACAGGATAAATTGGGTTTGATGGGACATCAGCAGGTCATCCTTCTCAGCCTCCTGCTCAAAATAGTGTCAACTAAGAGGTATGAGCAGTCTGCCCAGGGCTTTAGCCAGTCAGGTCTTGAAAATCTCCAAGGATCTGATGTGAACACTTAACAAATTAATCTGACTAATGCTGAACTCTATGACATGTCTGAATGTCAATACAAAGATCCTAGGAGTTTTTAAATACTGACTGGTTCTGCTACTGTACTTCATATGAGCCTTTTCCTTATGACACAAGGCTGTCACTCTAATGAGCAGTGTTACTCCAGCAGCTGCTTCCCCCATCCTCCCCATCCCATGCAGGAGACATGTTGATGGTTAATTGTCTCAGAAATGTAAAGGAGAGATTTTCCCTCTTTGATTTTGTTGATCTTCTTTTGCCCAGACTCATTGTGCAAAATTAAAGCAGTTAATTCATCCTTTTAAAGTAAAGAACTATTTATCTAGTACTCAAATTGTTTAAAGAGATACGTGCTAATGTGGCTATTGCCATCACTGATTAGAGACTACACGGTCACAAAGAGGCATGGGTGGCCTGGAATTCACTGCATGGTCACCAGGGAGGGTCTGGAATTCATTGCAATGGAGTACAAGCAAGGTGTGGCTGTAGCAAGAGGCATCTTGGAGTCTTTTTTCCTTGTCATGATGCGCAATGGAGATGAACGTTTTGCAGCAAGCATCCCAGAGAAAAGCTGGAAGAATATTTGCATTTGTGGCCAAACTGCATGATCCAGGATATGCCCAAGTTCATGTAAGAAGTGACTATGTTCTCCTCTCTCCTTGCCTTGCTTGAGGTGGCCCAGACTAATAATACAACCTAAACATTTTCTAAAGGACTTGAGGGTTAAACCTGAGTGCTGTGTCAAGAATTCCCTGCTCCTTTCTCTCCAGTAGCAACAACTGCACGAAGCAAGAAAAGTATGGAAAACTGCCTACCACCTCACACAAAGTTTCCTCAGCTTCTTATCACTTCTTTTTCCAAAGGAGGTGGTATGTAGTGAGTGAAGACATATTAATGAAAGTCTCTCAGCACAGTTATCAACATACTGCCTCAGATGAGGGAAAGAAAAGTAGCATCCCCAGAGAGAGACAAGGTTACACTTGGGATGACACATGCCTCTTCTACCTGGCTGCCTATCAGTCCCAAAGAGGACAGTGCTTTCTCTTCATGGAAGTAAACAGATGAAGGCCAGTCTCCATGTCTACTAGGAAAACAAGTGCTTAAGTAAACTAGCTAACAGGAAAGACATGGTTTAAAACCACAGATTGAAGAAAGAACATGTATTGATTTAAGTTAGGGAGCCAATGTAGTGCACTGATGGTATATACATTTTACATGGGTCTATAAGCCTTGTTTGGAAATAATTTTTATTGTGTCAAAAGTGTATGCAGGTTACTTAATCAGTAAAAAAAAGTAGCCATTTTCTCCTAGTGTGTTTTAGGAGTTATACAGATTACCTTCAAAAAAAGTAATGTGCGTAGAGGGATATCTTTGCAGTTTTGAGCAGTTTGCAGTACATTGTGTTACTTCCTTTTCTAATTTGTCTTCTGATTTTTCCCACTGCAGACAGTTTAAGAAATGTCAGCCTTGTCCTAAATTCTGTCTAACTGGAACAATAAAACAGTTAGCGCTTCTTCAATTATGCTGTTTAGTTAAAAAATGTCACTATGACGCAAGTAAAGGAGTTGTACAAAGTACTCCAGGGCACAAATGGAAGAAACTGCCACCAATTACTAGAGGAGTACTTTCAAAAACTGTGAAATATGACTATTTTTAACATGTTATTAGAAAAGATTGTGTACATTATTCTGCTATCTTCACAGCCTTTACTGATCTTATGAATGCATTCAGGCTAACACTAGAAATTTTAATAAATTTTTATTACTCCTAAAGTTTTTTAAAATCTTGTGAAGCTCTGATTGTCTTGTCAAAACAGGTATCCCCAAAGTAAAAGTGAGGTCAAACTCCAGTTCACTGACACCAGCAGCACTTTTGCAACAGGTCTGAGTAGAATACAGGCAGCGTGTAGCCTGTGTTCTGGTGGTCATTGTCTCAGTGACTGAATGAGAGATACGATTCCTGAAAACTTCAGTATGTAGATTTGACAGCAATGTGACAAGACAGTTTTTGGCTATGAACAATCCAGCATAATGGATTTGGCTCTGTTACAGGGTAATATAAAACTGTGTGTTTAGTATCTCATGCAGGTAGAAATGGAAAGATCTAGTCAGCCCTCCAGTACTGGGTAGGTACTACCAGGATCTCAATACTGATGGAATGAGAAATTACGTTCAGTATCGGAAAGGTGTTAGATACACACACAACTCCCACGGAAATGTAAACATACTAGCTATACAAACAGGATGAAGTACCTAATATCTGAGGGTTTGCACTGAATACCCACATCCAGTTAGAAACTCACAGGAAAGTTTGGTGGGTTTGGGTCCAAGAACTAACTTCTTTCTAAGTTCTGCAATTTCCAATCAGCCAGGATGTGTAACATAATGAGTGTAGATTTGCCAAGTCAATACACTCCAGGAAGTTTCAAACAAACGACCTGGACAGAATGAGGGATTTTTCTCTCTAGAGCAATATTTCTAAATTGATTTTCAGTCAGGAGAAAATGTAAGTGGCATCAAGAAGCTTATTGCAAGCCACGTTGGCCACTGCCCTAATTATTCAATTATGTAATTTGAAACTGATGAAGCAAGAGTCAATTCTAGGCAAATGTGGTCTGAGGACATGGCACCAGCTGAAGTAAGTGTCATTTAAAACAGTAAAAAGAAAAGAGAAACTAATAGCCATCCTGCATGTAAAAGCCAGATGCTAAAAACTGGATCACCCTTTCAAACTAATAACCTCTCCATCATCTTCATACGCGTTCTCCACCAACTGATGTAAAATAAAAGACTTTGCTCCCAAACAAATTAATAAGACAGTATAAATAAAGACATATAGACCATTCACAAATACTCTGTTGGCCACAGAACACACTGGAGCTGCCTTTGCTGACAGCTGCATTAACAGCCGCAGTTGGACTGCTGTGGAGGAGGGGTGTCCTTTAGCCGTGTGTTCTGCTTGCTGGCAGCAATGGTGGGATCCATCTCCAGGCTTTCAGACATTTTGTCACAGATGATATCCACGAGTCGCTCAAATGTCTGCTTGACATTAATGTTGTCCTTGGCACTTGTTTCAAAAAATTCAAATCCTAAGAAAATAAAAAACATGCTTATGTTCAATGCATATTCCAGTGTCTCCAATAAATATACAAACTTCTCTTGGGCAAGGAAAAGCGGAGGTGAAAAGCAAACGTGTGACAGCGTGCATAAGAGAGAATGATACTGGAAGAGCAGGTAAAACTGTAGCACAATCAAAAGTACACTAGTGGTATTTGCTTTATACCAAGCCAGACAGGAACAGGACAAAAACATTCCCTTTAACAAATTCTGCTTTAAAACAGTTTACTTTAAAAATTGTCACCAGTTTAAAAGCATTATTATTTTAGAAATGCCTATGTATCCACTCATTAAGAAGGAATAATCTACTGTTCCATCTCTATTATGTTCCTCTGAGCATTATTCAGGTTAAAACAGACATTTCCATTGTGTCATTAAGCTGGTGCCAAACCAAACAACTCTATTTGGAAATAACCAAATAAACAAACAAGCAAGAAAGGGGAAGACTGCTGCAATTTGATATCTACTCAAGTTAGAGGTGAATCCATGGGACCAAACGGACTCTCAATGCCACAAACCAAGCTAAAAAAGAAAATATAAATAAATAATAAACAAATTTTTCTCAAACACATATAAGGAAGAAAACTTCATTAATTTATGTGGAAGGACTTTTATCTATTGATTCCCAATGACTACTCCAAAGGCAAAAATCAGAGCTATCCTTAACCCAGAAGGGACACTGGAAGCCTTTACGGAGCACAGCCAGCTCTTTTAAGCTCCCTTCTCCATACCCATTTGTCCCATGTCTCATCTCCCATGTCTGCCTCCTTCATCTGGGCAAGATATGTGGGCAGTCAGCCTGCAATACAGCAGGCTTCTGCTAGTGCTGGCTATCCCTCTGTTCTAGCTTCCCTTTGCAGAACATTTGCAGGAAAACTGTGCATAATAAAAGACCATCTAAAGAAATCATGCTGGGAAGAGGTTTAAATCTACATGGCATTTTTAGTTAAGCTTGGCTTACACGTCTCCTATGTTTCAAACTAGAAGGAAAATCGGGAAAGCCAGTGTTGCTTCACTTGCTCTGCTGCATGCAGGAGAAGGCTGTTCAGAATGCCTAGGGAAACAAAGATCCTCAACATTTTCAGCGTTCTGCATTGAAACTGTCTGCAGCTCTAGGACAGCAACACAGTCAGATCATTCCATAAGTGTCAGTGTCTTCTTCACAGGAAGCAGGAGGAAAGCAGTCATTCCAAAGAGGAACAAGCAGGACCAGAGGGCAGAAGGGATGAGGGGCAGTGAGAGGATGCCTGAAAAATGGCACACCAAAGCACTGGAGAAGATGACAGGAAAAGGAATAAATCTTAAGGACATTTATGAGAGGACCAGTTTTTACAGTTAAGACGACAGAATAACAAGCACATGAGATGATCATGAAATGGCAGATATGACAAGTAGGTAAGAGATCTGGGCAGAGAAAAGCAAAAAGTGAAGGGAAAAGAGTGACAAAGAAGGGAGGAGACCCATGTCAGGAAATATTGTAACATGGACAGGATCAAGAAAACAGACCCACTACCACAGTTAAGATGTTCTGAATAAAAAAACTGTGAAAAACTTTGAGGCATTCATTCTCCAAGTAAAATAGAGGTGTGCAGAGTGCTCAAGCACAAACATATTTATTCTAATAAAAGACACTACAGCTGCGGTGAAATCTATGTAATTTCAGTTACAATTTTGTTATAAGAAGGAAATTGCAATCAGAGTAGTGGTGTAGCTGGGTATCAGGCTGTGCCTGTATACAAATCACATCAATTTAGTCATTAATTGCCTGGGTGATCCAGGGCCTCCCTGGCTGGACCCTACATAAATGAGACAATGAACTGACCTGTGAGAAACCGACAGAACTCCCAGCTACCTTCACAACAAAGTATTTGCTTTATTCTCTACAAGCAGTGTATAGGTAGAAATTTTGGGCAACCCTGGAGACTCCCTCTAGTAAGCCTCTGCTGTGCACAGGCCATTAAGATAGGAACTGTTTATATGCTTAAATGTGCTGCTAAACATCTAAGTAAAGAATGGGCCATGCTAGTGGGCTTCCCCCATGCAGTTTCTGCTGTAGAATGGATTCAACTGCACATAGGTAGGACACCTGTTGTTGGTCTGTGGTGTAGAAACTGTTCCTACAGATGTAGAAATGCTCACACAGAACAGTCTTTTGAAACCAGTTAAGAAAGTTAAAAGATGCTTTGTGTACAGTTTAAAGTAATCACTGCCAAACGATCATGTAGTGGGCAAGTAGGACTAGCTAGTTCACCAGAATTCAGCAGAACAAGAGTTCACAGTCTCATTTGGTGCACCTGAAGACACCATTGCAAAGGCACTTGAAACAGAAGCTCCCATTGCCATCCAGACAGCCACTGAATGTTCTGTGCTGGGGGTTCAATTCCTCACATTACAGTCACCTTATGCAAAAGATCCCAGTAAATTGGTCGTATTTATTTTTCATTTGTTTGTTTAACAGAAAGTCTGTCTGTTGAACAGTTTCAAAGAGATATGGAACATTTTTCCCAGCAGAGTGTGCATGTAATAAATATCTGACTTCTGGTTGTTCTCCATTTTGTTATGCAATATTTTGCAGAACTTGACCTTTCCTCTCCTCCTGACTAATCTTGCAATTATTTTACTAAGAGTGCTTAGACACCCTAAGCTTTTAACATGCATGTGTATGAAGGCCCCAGATGTCTGCCTTTTAATACTTTCTCCAGGTTTTTTGCCACTGCTCATTAGGACAAAGAAAAGATTTTCTGTAACAGTGTAAGCCCAAAGTGAGGCAATTCTCTAGTGATGCTCAGGGCAGCAGAGCTCGAAGAACACCATGTTCCCACCACCTGTGATGATCTGTACTGTTCATGTAGATGAGACCTAGCAGAGCCAAGTACTGCAAAGAAATTACAAAGCCCAAGAGGCAAGTGAAGTAGGTAAGGCAGAAGAGAGTTTAGTATCAGCTGGGATGGAGTTAATTTTCTTCCTAGCAGCTGGTGCAGTGCTGTGTTATGGGTTTAGTGTGAAAAAAACAATGGTAACACACCAATGTTTTTAATTGTTGCTAAGTAGAGCCTACCCTGATCGAGGACTTTTCAGATCTGCCAATGAGGGACACAAGAAGCACAAAAAGAGAGGAGAGACATGACACCTGACCCAAACTAGCCAAAAGGGTATTTCATACCATAGAACATCATAATTGGTATATAAACTACAGAGAGTTAGCCAGGAGGGACTGATTGCTTCTTGGGAATGATCTGGGCGTTGGTCAGTGGTGAGGAATTGTAATGTGCATCACTTGTTTATTCCTTCCCCTCTCTATTTACTATCCTTATAATTATTCTTACTTTTATTTCAATTATTAAGCTGTTCTTATCTCAACCCGTGGGGGTTTACATTTTTTCTGATTATCCTCCCCATCTCACTGGGGATTGGGCATGGAGTGAGTGAGAGGCTGTGTGGCACCTAGTTCCCAGCTGGACTTACACCATGACAAGCCAAAACTGAGAAAAATCAAAATATCAAAGTGCTTCCTGAATATATGAACAGTGTGGATGGAACATGCCTCAGGATGTTCTAATTTAATTGCCTTGTTTGTGTTTAATTCAGTTTTCCCTTTGCTGTCCTTACAATGCGTCTCACTCTTCCCATAGCATTGACTCAAAGAAAGCTTGCAAGCTCTCAGCAGCCCCCACACAGCACTATGAAATAGTGTGGCAGCCAACACATCAACAGGCTGCTGTTGTTCACCTGATGAGCTATAAAGCACACAGACCAGTAGCCACCCTGAAACACATAAACAGAATGAATTACTGATTTTGTTCCCTCCCTGCCTCGTTTGTCCTGACTTTGCAGAGGCTCCTTCATCAATACTCATTAACCCTTGTTTATGGTTCTTTCAAAAAATAAAGGGGAAAAAAAAAAGGACACCCATATGCAGAGCAAAGAACATTTTGCACCCTCTCATCTTTCTGAGAAAATGTGACATCAAGAGGGCACACTAGATAGCAAATTTTAAGCACAATTCCACAGACGATACAGACAAGCTATATTAACGTTTCACCAGCTGATTAGGAAGGCCTTCTGGTTTCAGAGTGGTTGCCTAAAACCAAGACAATTTTGTTTACCACCCCTGATGTTATATTTAACAGATGTCCTTAAGGGTGTGTTCCTGCAATAACTATCCTTCCTCAAAGACAAGCTTGAACTGTGATCCTTAGCGCTGCTCTTGCCAGTTCCTTGTTCAACCCAGTATTTTGAGCAGTGGGAGACTGCAACATCAGAGCAAGAAGACACTGAAGGAAGCTGCTCCCTTTGTCACACAGAGTACAAAAGGCAAAATCTAGGAAGCCTTGGGAATGAATTATTTCACAATGTCCTAGCATTTAAAGGAGAGGAGCTAATGATGCTTTATTTGCTTGGATTTGCATCCTGTGGGTAGTTCTGAGGGGGTGCCAGTAGGCACTCAGGCTCTTGCCTGCTGTGAATAGTATCTAATAAGGTTTGCATTTACACTTCAGGCTGCCAGTCAAGGCAGCTGCAAGCCCCTTCTCCCCTTCTTAGATGTTCAGTTCCTCAGAACTGTTAATATCTTCGAGACCTCTACTGCTTACTCAAAGAGAAACAGACACACATGGCATGATTGCAAAGGTCACCTGGGAAACTGGGCTGGAGGTAGCCAGTGACTATTGATGTTCTTCAAAGTACCTCCTACACCCACAACTCTGGCAGCAGACCTGGTTACACTGTGCTCTATGTAATCCCCTAGTACCTAGTGCAGCATGAGCACAACACACATGGTTTGGACCTATGGCAGGATTACACTTCTGAAGCAACTTTAGGGGCCCTGGTCTTCAAGATACAACACACTCTATAGCGGTAGTAATTGTAGACCAGTTGGATGAGACCTCTGAGGTCTAAACAAGCCCAAGGGCTGGACTATGTTAAGTATTAAAATGACATTAAGCCCTCAAATTGGACTTTGCTAATATTA